GGTCACTGATGAAGAGTCCCTCTCCTGCATCCAAAGAGGGATGAAATGAAAAAGCCATCATCACGAAACAACAGTAGGTACAACAAAGCACAGTGGTACATGGAATGGACATGTCATATCCCAGCCAGGCAGTGGGTCAAGATCAGGAAGTAAGTTCCTGTTTTGTTGTCCCCCTTTTGTGGTAAGTTACAAGAGTCTCCTTCTCATGAAGGTCACGTTCAGGCAGTGAGCTGCTGACAGCACCCCACCGAATTGCAAGACCATCGCGTTCACAAATCTGTTCCCCTTACAAATCACATTCTCTACCACTCAGAAGTGTAGCCAAGTTTCATTTCTTATAATGTAAGCCTAAAGTGTTAGAATTAACTGGCTTGTAATGGGGAAAAGACGGTTGTTTTTTTTTCATATCTCTCCTGGAATCTGCTATTACAGCTAAGGAAGGCAGTGCCTGTGCAAACAAAGGAAAGCCCATATCAACTAAAGGAAGGTTGCGAGAAAGGAATTAAAACAAAAAGTCTACATCTATTTACATTCTATGACCAGCTAACACATGGAATATAGAACTCTACAAGGATCAGCTGGCTTGGCTTTTCAATTGAGAAAGGCTGAGGAAAAGCACAAAGAGGTTCAAGAACTACAACAAGCAAAATCATGAAGGAACTAAAATAATATTGCTCTTTGTTTTGGATTTAAGAAAAAAAAGAACAAAATACAAATCAACAAGCTGCTACACTTACAGAAAACTAAGGTGTTTCTTCCTCTATTAAAATATCTATAGAAGTTCACTTAGTATTTCGCATGACCTTATTTAAGGCTGCTTGTGGTCAATGTAAAGAGTTTAGCTATAAAGACAAAGGAAATCACATCATTTAGAACTGTTTTGCAGTAAGCAAAAATGGGCACCAGTGTTGTGACAAAACTGGTTGAAGCAAATTAACTTACCATCACTACTGGCTTTCTTCTGTTTCATAATGAAGTCAATGAACCATACTTTAGCCTCTCCAATTCAGCCAGGCCTAGTAACTTAAAACATTAATGGAAGCTAATGACTAAAAGCAGCTGAGCTCCAAACCACTCTACAGGAAGAAAGTTATCCTGAGCAGTCCAAAACAAGGACAATCAAGAAGCAGCAAAACTGTACAAAGCTACAGAAGCCTGTGCTCTGAATATAAGACATGGCAGTCACTCGTTAAGAACTAGAACTGTCAGCATGCAACTTGGAGCCTCAAAGAGATCCAAGAACTTCTTTAGTACGTCACAGATAACTGAGAAAAGTACATTCCCACCAAGAGATTTTCGATCTTCAGACTTGACAGGCTGAGAGAGCTGGACTTTTTCAACCTGAAGAGAAGGCTCCTAAAGGGGAGACCTTAGAGCAGCTCCAGTGCCTAAAGGGGCTACAAGAAACCTGGAGAGGGGCTTTGGACAAGGGTCTGTAGGGACAGGACAGGGGGGAATGGCTTTAACCTGACAGAGGGGAAACTGAGATGAGATCTTAGGCAGAAGTTCTTCCCTGTGAGGGTGCTGAGGCCCTGGCATAGGTTGCCCAGAGGAGCTATGGCTGGCACAGGCTGCCCAGAGGAGCTGTGGCTGTCCATCCCTGGCAGTGTTCAAGGCCAGCTTTGACAGGTCTTGGAGCAACCTGCTCTAGTGGAAGGTGTCTCTACCTGTAGCAGGGGGTTGGAACTGGATGAGCTTTAAGGTCTCTTCCAACCCAAACCAGTCTGGGATTCTATGATTCTCCTGACCAGCACTTCCACTGCAGAAAGATATTCGAAGTCTGTATTTAAGAAGGTGGACTAAGCACAAGCCCACAGTATTTGCTTCTCAGTCCCTCAGTTCCAGTGATTCCTACGTGACTTTCAAAGCTGGAAAGGTATTCACGAAAATCTCACTGGACGGAACGCAATTCTGATCACTGAAACAGAAGCAGAGAAATCCTGTACCCCAGTCCCATCATTGGAACTGCAGCTATAGTGTACAAAAAAAAAAAAAAAAAAAAGGAGAAATCAAAGTAAAAATGTTAACAATTAGTTACATGCTGGAAAGCCTCCCAGTTGGGAGTTCTGCTTGAGCTTCTTCTTCTTCTGCTGCCGCTTCTGGTTCTTCATGTTTTGCTATGTCAGGTACCACAGGTGAAGCTGGTGGAACTGCCAACAAACCAAAACATTATTTTTCACAGTTCAATCCAGCAAGAACACCAGAATGCAGCAGAGTGACAAACCTACACTATATTCTGTAAGTTACATGTATTAATGGGTTAAAAGAACTGGTTAAAACTATTGGGTTCTACTCAGAAGCATGGCTTGTACAGTGATAAACCCAACAGAGTCCTGTATGCTGGAGTTTGTGATAGTGTGTGCTTCTGTGATTTATTCATGGTCCTAAAGGTAAAGGCAGCACAAGGATTAGGTGCTTGGTCCCAGGATAATTACATTAAGTGAAGAGGGTTTTCATGAATATGACTTTGCCAGTGCAAGACCTGGTCTTTGAGACAGAGCTGCATCACCTGTCCTCATTCAGCTGCCACTGAAGTGATTCCTCTTTCACACTGTTGTGGTTCAAGCCCAGCTGGTAACTCAGCATCATGAAGCCACTTGCTCACTCCTTCCTCTTCCCCTCCCACCTCCAGGTGGGATGGGGAGGAAAATCTGAAGAATGTAAACCCCACGGGTTGAGATAACATCAGTTTGATAACTGAAGTATAATATTAAACTACTACTAATAATAAGGGAAATAACAAGGGGAAAGAATATAAAACTAAAAGGGAAAGGGGAAAAAACCCAATAAATACAAGTGATGTCCAACACAATTGCTCAGCACTTGACCTATATCCAGCCCAACCCGAGCAGCAATCTGGGCCTTCTGGGTGACTCCCCCAGTTTATATACTGGGTATGACATGCTATGGTATGGAATACTCCTTTGGTTAGTTTGGGTCAAGTGTTCTGTTAGTGCTTCCTCACGGCTTCTTGTGCCTCTCATCACTGGCAAAGCATGAGACTGAAAAGTCCTTGCTACTGAGCAACAACTAAAACATTGGTGTGTTACCAGCATTGTTCTCAGACTAAACCCCAAACACAGCACTACACCAGCTACCGGGAAGGAAAAAGATAACTGTTACAGCCAAAGCCAGGACATACATACATTGGCCATACAAGGGTCTGTATTTCTGTTCGATGTAACAGGGTAAGAACAAGCTACAGAAGAACATCTATTCTCAGCTCCACCAAAATATTGTCCTTCTCCTCTCTGCTTTCCTGAAAATAAAGGATACTTACGGCTGTGGATGATTTTCTTGATCAAAGTCCGTGGTGTGTCACTGATATCACACAACAGCGGCCCCAGCCCCACCAAAGTACTTCTGCCCAAATTCTTCTTTCCTGGATCAGCTCTGGTCTAAAGAGAGACATTAGACAAACACAACTCAAAAACTGTATTTTTATCACTAGAGATGACCCTTAGCATCAAAAGCATTCATCATGCATCCTCGAATAACAATCTAAGCTACTTAACACATCTTCCAAATTCCCAAACAAGTTGGAACAACGAAACACATTTGCTTTTTTAACAGTACTGTCATGTTGGTTCTGGACAGGAGACAATTCACAGTGATGCACAATCCCATCATAGACCAAAGCCTGAGAGACTTGAGGGCATGGCCTATGGCCCCTCATGTGAACCCCACAAAAAAACATAGCAGAACACAACCATAAGGGAGATGCAAGGCTCTCAGGGCCCTGGCTACTTGTAAAGTGCAGAATTCAGGGTCTTCAGCACGTTTTACACATTAAATGGACAAGGAGTGATGCAAAGGGTTAACCGATGTACAAGGTGGTTAGGGTTAAGCCCCTTGCTTAACAATGTTACTGCTTACTCAACAAATGCGTGCTCAACACTTATCGTGCTTGCTAGAACAGGGTGGGAGGGCCAAGGCTATTGATAAGAGGAAGGAACAGTCATGTGGTTCCTGTTCTCTGGACGCCTAAACTGGCTGAAATCACCTCTGCGGTTTGGACAGTGACTAAATCACCAGGGAACATGCGCAATGACTGGAGATGAAAAGTTCAGGGAAGACTCATTTACTTCATCTTGAGACCCTCCCCCACAACCACCAGGAGACACTATGCAAGCAAGGACCTTTTACCTCATTACAATACGAAGCGGGGATAGGTCATGAATATGTATAAGTGTGTTGTGTAATCTAATGCATATGTAATAGTTTAATAGATAGATAAGTTTAATAGATAAATATAGAGGTGAACAACGCTGGGGTGCGCATGCTTTTGGAGGAGAGATCTCCCATGCGCCTCAGCGATGAATAAGGCATACCTACTCTACAACTTGTAATGAGTTATGGAGTCTACCCGCGCATCAGGCACACCCTGGGCTCACCGGCCCGGCCGCGGGGTCCTCGCTCCTCTCGGGAAGGGCGGGCAGCGCGCGCCGGCCGGTCCCACCTGTGCTTTCTCTCCCTTTACTTCTTTCCATACCCTCTCCCCGGCCCCATCCATCACCTCGGCTGCCGCTCCGGTAGTCGAGCGGCGGACACGCACACCAGTAGCTCCCGTGGTCGAGCGGCGGGAGGATGAGCGGCGGACAGGCACACCGGTCGCTCCGGTAGTCGAGCGGCGGGACGATGAGCGGCGGGACGATGAGCGGCGGGCGGGAGCAGCGGCCGCTCCCGTGCTCGAGCGGCGGGCGGATAAGGGGCTGGCGGACATGGCGGGCGCTCTGGTGGTCAAGGGGCAGGCGGATATGGCGGCAGCTCCGGTGATCAAGCCGCCAGCAGACACCGCGACCGCTAAGGCGGGCGGTCACGGCAGCCTAAGGCGCGCGCGCGCGCGCGGCGCCTCACGGGAGCGGGCGGGGCCTTGGCAGGGCAGGTAGTTCCGGCTCGGCGTTATCGCCGTGGTGCATTGTGGTCCGCGTAGTTCCGGTGCGGCCGCGGCGGGCGGCGTCGGCCGGCGGCGAGAGGCCGCGGTTGGCCTTTAGTTCGGCGGCGCCCCCCCCCCCCCCCCCACCTCCCGCGGCCGTTTTCCCCCGCCCCGCCATGCCGGGCTTCACCTGCTGCGTGCCGGGCTGCTACAACAACTCGCACCGCGACAAGGCGCTGCACTTCTACACCTTCCCCAAGGACGAGGAGCTGCGGCGCCTCTGGCTGAAGAACGTCTCCCGGGCGGGCGTCAGCGGCTGCTTCAGCACCTTCCAGCCCACCACGGGCCACCGCGTCTGCAGCGAGCACTTCCAGGGCGGCCGCAAGTCCTACCTAGTGCGGGTCCCCACCATCTTTCCGCTGCGCGGCGTCAACGAGCGCAAGGCGCAGCGGGCCGCCCGCCGCCCCCGCCCCGCCGCCGCCGCTGCCGCCGCGCAGGGCCCCGCTGCTGCCGCTGCCGTCGCGGTCCCGGCAGGGGGCGCGGCCGAGGACGTGAAGCCTATCGACCTGACGGTGCAGGTGGAGCTCGGGCCCGGGGCCACCGTGGGGCCCGGCCCCGGGAGGCTACCGGCGGCAGGGGAGGAGGGCCCGTTGGAGGGCGGTCCCCCGGACCACTCATACTCGCTGTCGTCGGGCACCACGTCTGAGGAGCTGCTGAGGAAGTTGAACGAGCAGCGCGACATCATCGCGCTGCTGGAGGTGAAGATGAAGGAGATGAAGGGCAGCATCCGCCGCCTGCGCCTAGCCGAGGCCCAGCTCCGTGAGGAGATCCGCGAGAAGGATCGGCTGCTCCACGCCGCCAGCGCCGGAACCCGCAAGCGCCACGGCCTCTGAGGCTGCCGGCCCCCGGCGCGGGGCTCTGCACTTCGGAGCCTCCGCCGCCCTCGGGGAGGTGCCCTGGCAGAGCGGGGACGGCGCAGGCTGCGGCCCCCATCCCAGCCCTCTCTGCCTGGTTCCTCCTGTCTCCACCGAAGCATACCCGCGCCATAGGGATCTTCCTTCCTAGACGGGGCGGCCGCTGTCGCCTCAGTGCCAAGCCCCGTTACCGTTCTCCCCAAGCTTAGCACTGCGGGCGCCTGCCGGCGTCCCGCCTACAGCGGACCCATCAGCACCCTCCGTGCCGACAGTGGCAGAAACCGCTTCTCGTAGTGCGGATGGGATCCGTGTCACCACCAAGTGGAAGTAGGGTGTCGGTTTTCAGCAAATAAACTCGCCCGTGGTAAGTGAGGTAGCAGCAACACTACCCTGGAGAAGGCGCAGCTGGAAGCGTGGTTGGCACCGAGCCCTTCATAGAATGAACAAGGATGTCGTGTTTGGCCTTGCATAGCAGAGGCATGAGGAAAGCTTTATAAACCCTCTCAGGGTGATGTGTTTCTTCAGTAAATTACTGATGCCATAAAAGACTGCTGTTTCTAGAGTGACAGGATCCCTAGGTTAAAGAGTGCTTGTCGTATGTAGTTTCTGCTTACTCTGCAGTGCACATGTATTTGTTACAGATGTCTCAACACTGAGTAAGGATTACAGTCTGGTACAGAGTCCAGTGGCATTTGACAGCTGTAGTTTTATCTCATCAGCTTAAGAACTCCTCATGAAACGGAGGCTTTGTAACACGCTGGGATTGAAATCCTTGGCTTTCGTTCAGGATGGAACAGACGCAAAGCGAGTTTATCTGCAGTGGTTGCAAACCCTTGCTATCTAATCCTAAACTAGTCAGCATGACTAATAATCTGTACATTAGGCAAGACCTTACTGAAACATGCTTGTGTATTCTAAACTGAGATTTATAACTATTATAACAAACCATGTGAAATGATTGTGTAGTTTCTGGTTTTAGCCAGCGTTAGTCACTTTCAGCAACAGGAAACCAAATCAGCGTTGGCTAGTTAGAGGGTGGCATGAGGGCAGCAAGGCCACTCTTTGGGCTTGAATACACACTGCTGGTTAGCCGGTGGAACAGGTACCTCAGCACTTCAGAGTAGGAAGAGGGGTTATCTGATGCACCTCTGTAGCTCAGTGGCAGTGTGTATGTAAGGGGGTATGGCTTTACTAGCAGTGGGTGTTGAGAACAAGTGCAGTTCACCACAGTGTGCTCATAATTGCGCTAGAGGGAGGAACACCCAGGGGCCCCCCACCCTATGAGATCTTTCTCCCATGACCAGAGCACATTACACTTGCGAGGTCAGGATGCCAGTTTTGCGAAATTTTCTGGAAGTATTTTCTAAATGTAAGAAGTTATGTTTAGTTTGAAAATATTGTAAGCTTTGTAACCCTGGCTAACATAGCTTTACAACTGTGGGTTTTCTGACTGAAGAAAACGGCACAGTGGGATTTGGTCTGGTGATGGTGCAGCCCAGTCAGCTACAGGCGGCAGCTGTCACAGCCTGCTATGTGATGCATGGCTCTTTTTTCTATTAATGTGTACCAAGTTGGATGGTTGACTGTAAGGATACTACACATCTCTTTATGTGCTGTTTGCCATTATTTCATTTTAATTTATTTTTTCTGATCTGATACGTAGCTCTTAACTTCAGCTCCCTGATATCCTGATTTTCCTGTGAGTCAAGTAAAGCAGCAAGGTTTTGGATTAATTGGTTGGTTTGTTTTGGTTGGTTTTGTGTGGAAAGAAGGTACCTGATACACCATCTGATTTCACATATGTAATTAGTCCAGCAGATCTATGTGCTTCCATCAGGACAGCAGGCAGCACAACCTCTCTCCTCGCAAATGAGACTGGTTGTATGTCCTAGCTTCTTGAGAATGTGTGTGGCACAACACTCGTGGTACTTTTTCTACCATTGGAATGCACTTCAGGACGTTCAGCCCTTCAGCCCTGCTGGACTGGTTAACTGCCGGACTCTTGGACTTCTCCAGGTTACACTGAGGTGCTAACATGCTTAATTTTAATAAAATATATTTTGTTTTCATATGTCTCCTGTTTCTCTGCTGCATGTGTATATGTATATATATATATATATATACATATTTCTCAAAGGTTGTGGCTTGTCTTCTCTTTTGCAGTGTTTTTGTATTCCTCATGAACTCTACAGCTGCAACAGCATGAACAGCTTTACATTCATGTAGGGTGAGGAAGAGGAGTTTGAAGTCTGTCAGTACGTTACTGCCTGCCTACACAGGGGTTGGAGTTGGTTTGATGAGCAAATGGCTGTTGGGGCAGGGGAGCCCTAAACAGCCAGGAGGGATTTGAGCTTCCCTGCAGTGCTTTGGCTGGAGGGACAGTGCCAGTAGCCTCCGATGAGGCAACCTCATGCAGGGAACAGTGTGTAGTGGCTTTGGATTTTTAATCCCATTTCCCAAAGCTCCTAATGTCTGATTGTTTAGAGCTACGAGTCTCAAATCACTGTAAGCTGGAAAAAAAAATCAGCTGTGGCTCAAACATCGTATTTTTGAGTTAAACTGGAATGTTGAACAAAGCAGCATGACAAAAATGTACACTTTCTCCCATTTGCTGCTGTATCAAGCAAAGGAGCAGTCCTGGCAGTGAATTCAGAGGCTAACTCTGAATGAAGGCAGCTTACTGTGCTAATAAATAAACTGTTACTGCTCAGTGCAAATGCTTTTTCTTCAGCTCTTCACCTTTCTGCATCCTGTATCTAACTGATGAACATGTTTCCTCTGCCAGCCTTGCCAGATTCCTCTCTGTGTCTATTACCAAATGTTAGCATTATAAGACTTGAATAATGTTTATTTGAAATGACTTTTATGGTTCTAAGGGAAAGCCTTAATTTCATAACAGTCACTCCTGGAGATAAATACAGCTCTGTTTCTGGGTCCTGTAACTATTTTTAAGTTTTTCTGTAGCCTTTAACCCAGAGGGTTAATAATTTTATTTTACTTAAAATGATGCATTCTTGCTTAGCATCAGGCTGTGGAGCTCAAGCACCAACAACTCATGTATTCCCTAAGTGTTATGGTCCAAGTTCACCAGCTCAGCTTTCCAGTAACTCAAGGAATCTAGAAACAAAACTCCAACCATGGCACATTTGGCCATGCAATCTTAAAATCTGACAGCATGGATGAAGACAATGCAGCCTGCCCAGAACACGGAACGCTGCTAGACAGGCTGCCAGGTGGTTAGTGGCATTTTCACCATCTGCAGAAGGTTTCTGATTGTTCCTTCCCTGGTTTCTGAAGCTAGCTGACAATACCACACCAGGACTGGTTGAAGCTCAGGCTAGACTGAGTGAAAACAGCATTTTAACGTGCACACTCCTCATCTAACAGCTCTCTGCATCTGTACAAACCATGTGGTCCCCACCTCTGGGTTACATAACAAAGATCATTTTCTGAAGGTGGTGCACCTAATCACTTGTTTCTACCCATTGTTTGCATTTCCAAAGACTACCATTTTCGAGCTTTAATAAGATAAAATTAGTCTTTGTGAGAAGGGAGCTTTGGCCACAGAGCCCCTGTGAGAGACCAAAGTAGCCTGAGCTCTATGTTGAGTTCTTCACTATCTACGGGTGGATAGGGACAGAGTGGCTTCTACATGATGACTATAGGTAACAAGCAGAACCAAAAAGGAGAAAGGCAGAGAAGCTACTCTCCAATGCAAGCCCTCTCCTCTACGTGAAACCCTAACTGATTTCTCTGTATATACACTAGGCTTGCTCATTTCACCTCAGTATTGCTACCATTAAGTTACTGAGCAGATGACTTTTTCTGACTGTCCCATCCCACTTGGTGAGTGTGGGGGGAGATGATCTGTTACAGTACTCAAACCACAGGCCTTCCAGAGAGCGGTCCCAGCTCCAATGCCTAGATTTTTCTCTGGTTTTTAGATTGCACAGTCTGGTGTAAAAATTGTCCCTGTTGTCCACTTGCACACAGTGCCCAGGAAAGCAGGGCTTCAGTGCTGCCTAGGCGCGTCAGTGATAACCTTCTTAATAAAAAAAAAAAAAAAAAGGATGAGCATTATTCAGCTGCTGTCCAGTCAGTTCTCACTTCAAAGGGCTGACCGCTCCCAGCATAAATGGAACAGTTCAGACGGGCATGCTGGGCCAGCAAGTGCTGGTCCCACAGCTCATTTGGACATCACCAGGCAGGAAAAGAGCAAAAATGGTGTGCTGTTGTGCATGTGGAGGTTACCATCTGCTGACAGACCTTCACTCCTCTCTGGGTAATGTACTGACTTTCTGGTGAAGTATGAGTTAGGAATGGTTCTCACACAAGCAAAACATCCCCAGACCCAGTTCCCTCTGTCCCAGGATGCTCCATTCAGCTCTCACCATCTCAGTTCTACTTTTCCTCCCAGATCACACAGAAATTCTCATTCACAGAAAGGGACTATGTTAGCTGGGTAGTCACATCCTAGCAGATCCTTATCCCACCACAGTGGCTACTAGAGGAATAGCAGAAGGATAATTAACACCATTTTATCTGAAAGTCTCCAAGTTCCAGGCTTAGGATCTATGTTTGGAAACGACTCCACATCACATCAGCTAAGATGAGGGACTCCATGAAGATGTCATGGAAATCCTTCCTTTTTGTCTTTCTTCATGAACAACAAACGAGAAGTCACTTTTTCTGTATGTTCACAGCTTTGCATTGGTGTGAATCAACCCAGTTCCTCCACCTTCTTAGAGAAATCTGCCAGGTCATGCCCACTGTGCACAAACTGTTTACTCATGTAAGAGTGTCACAGGCTGCACAATTTAAAGATAGGTTTTGTTCATGACACAAATCCTTAACCTGAGTCCACAAAGAACTGTGATCAGGATGGTGCCAGTCATTCCACTGACATCTTTCCCTCCCCCAGGGCAAAGAGACATCAGTGGTAGACACAAGGTGAAGAAAATATGAACACATCTCAGGCTGGCAGCTAGAGATCTGAAAACGGTATGATAAAGGCAATGAAAAAGCTCATCATGTTATCTCAGGCATGAACCAGTACCTCAGCCAGAAAACAAGGGGGAGAGAGGGGACGAAAATCACCGCTTTATTATTCAGCTACTCTTCATCTGAACTTAGTGGAGTATCAGCTGCCTGCAGTCTCCATTTCCAGGCCACACAGGGTAAGAAACCAGGAGACAATGAGCCACACAGTACTAGCACGCTGGTTTGCCTTTTTTAAATGGAAGAAACCTGTTAAAGACATTGTTAGTTCAACATTAGAGCTAAGGAAAGAGGCTCAAATCAACTACCTTTAATGCCTTTCCTAATACTCAACAGCAAGCCCACGGCAAGCCCAGATACACATTGTGGACACATCTTGTTCCACAGATGTGCAACGTAGTCTCTCTCTAGGAAGCAAAAAGGTGACACAGAGGTTTGCCAGCAGAGGACTCGGAACCTTCAGAGCTGACCCAAATGTCAAGCTGGGGATGGGACAACACTGAGCTGTCTTTCAGTCTCAGCCCTATGGTTTAAATTACCTGATGATGAAGACTTCTGCACCCTTGTAAGTCCTCCCTGCTGCCACTTGACTGGAGGTAATGTGGGCCAAACCACTTACCTGTTTGCAAGTATTTATTTGAAGGTGTTTGTCTACCACTCCGTATCTTCTGTGCCAACTTCTTTCACTGCAAACAAGCTGAGCAATTACTTAAAAAAAAACCCAAAATATTCACTGTCTAGCAGCTAAAATTAAAGTCAGGATCATTCTATGAATCTGTGATAGCTTGTGTTGGAAGGGACCCTAAAGCTCACTCAGTTCCAGCTCCCTGTCGTCCTGCTGTGGGGTGGCAGGAGGTGGCCAGGGAGCTGGAGAGATACCAAAGTGATGGTGACACCAACGTGCACCAAACTGTGCAACTTTGATCCAGCCAGGAGTTTGTGGGTGCCTGGGAAGACCCACAGATGCCCACCAAATGCTCAGTGTGTTTGGTCCTGCAGGCAGAAAGATGGGCTGCACATATAGTCATGGAATCAAACACTGATTTAAGTGGGAAGGGACCTTAAAGCTCATCCAGTTCCAACCCCCTGCCACAGGCAGGGACGCCTTCCACTAGACCAGGTTGCTCCAAGTCCCATCCAACCTGGCCCTGAACACTGCCAGGGATGGGGCAGCCACAGCTTCTCTGGGCAACCTGTGCCAGGGACTCAGCACCCTCACAGGGAAGAACTTATGTCCAAGATCCCATCTCAATCTCCCCTCTGTCAGGTTAAAGCCATTCCCCCTTGTCCTGTCCCTACAGGCCCTTGTCCAAAGCCTCTCTCCAGGTTTCTTGTAGCGCCTTTAGGCACTGGAGCTGCTCTAAGGTCTCCCCGTAAGGAGCCTTCTCTTCTCCAGTCTGAACCAGCCCAGCTCTCTCAGCCTGTCTCCAGAGCAGAGCTGCTCCAGCTCTCGCAGCATCTCTGCGGCCTCCTCTGGACTTGTTCCAACAGCTCCATGTCCCTCTTGTGTTTCTGCCTCAGAGCTGGACGCAGGACTGCAGAGAGGGTCTCTCCAGAGATGAGCAGAGGGGGAGAATCAGAGAGAGATCTGCAGCTCTGGCTGCAGGTAATGACCTCCTTCCTCGCTCGGGGTCCATACCCCTCTGAGGGTGCAACCCCTCCTCGTCTCCCTCTCCTGGGTGACATCCCGTCCCGGTTACAACCCCGGGACAGCTGCAGCGAGAGCCTAGGGCCAGGGCGGGCTGAGGATGCTCTCACCCATACCACCGCGGCCACCTCTCAGGGTCGCGACCTTCCTGCCGCCGGCCCGCGGGAGTACAGGGCCTCCTGGCGACGCCTCTGTGGCGGCGGGACGGGCAGGGCCGCTGGCTTGTCCGAGAGAGGCCCCGGAGGCACGACGGAAACTTCCGGGCGCGCACCACTAAAGCGTGGTAAACCACCCGCCTTTCCCGCCCCCGCCCAGCCGTGTTCCGCCACTATCCCAAACTGCTCCGCGGCACCGCCTTGCGAGGCTAGCGCCGCGAGGCTCCCGTCATTTCAGTTAAAATGGCCACGAAGGGCGGTGTCGC